GAAAACGATTTTTCTACAAACAAAATACTCATATGTTTTTTCAAATAAATTATATTATGTATTACTATATTTATATTGTTTGATATTAATATTTCAACATAAGTATTTAGTATTTTATCGAGTTCATCTTATTGAATATAATGTAAAATATTATTTGAAATGTGTATTTAATATTTAATTATATTATCAAATACAATAAATATGTTGTAATAAGTGTGATACTTTTCTTATATTTTAATTTAAACTATATAATTATAATATCAATAAAATATATATATTGATATTGGATGACTCAACATTCACTCCAACGCGAGCAGTACATCTCAAAGGAAGAGGAGATTCAAAAGTCAACCTATATCGTGATATTTTGGAGATTTTTAATTGGATTAGTCAACAAAGCAAATTAATGGAAGTGGACACGTTTTGAACACAGGATGGTCGGTGCAAGATTTAACAAAAAAAATACTTACAAATAGGAAAAGAGAAAATTATCTCATGTGATTAGCGTTGTAAAACTATAAATACCATATTTTTCCAGTTGAGTCCTTTTTTAGGTTTAAATATAATTATCTATACGAATTTCAGTCGAGTCGAGTATGGGTGGGACTAGAAAAACCTATAACCCGACTTATAAATCGAAGCTCAGAAATCACTTTATTATTTGTAAATGGATCGTTTTGTACTTTGCTTATCTCATTCATCCAAATTTTCAATAACAAGATGAGTAACATATGCACATGTCATTAAATGTACATAACTCATTATTCATAAATTGTTATATGTATTATCACTTAATCAAATTATTATCTAAAAAATTACTGATTTTGAGGTAAACGATTAACCCAAATTATGTTAGTATTCGATTATCCAATATTCGCATCCACAAAGCCGGCTCCAGGGGCAAGCAATATTGGCACCTGTCTAGGGCCTCCATTTTGGGAGGCCTCACAATTTTTTTGCAATTGTATGTATTTGTTTGGTTGGCTTGGTCCATTTACAAGATTATTAAAACTAATTAAAAGTTAGAGATATTAAAATAATTTTGACTCCTTTCTTTCCTTCAAGTTTCATCAAGAGAAAAATAAAATATATTATAGAGCATAATAATTCTTGATTCAAACCACTTAGAGAGTATTATTTCTAACTTAGCGTATTACATATAAAAATGTCAAGATTCTGATTCAAATTTTTTTGTACTAATTATATTTTAGATATTTATTTTTTTTAATTTATAATTTTTGTTAATTATTATTGTGATTAAACTTACTAATATATTATTTTATGATTAGATTTCTTATATGAGTTATGACAGACAAACGCAAATTCTATTTGAAATGTTTGAAAAGAAAAAGAAAGAAAAACAAGAGATACTAACAAAGTCTCTCGCCTGATGAATGGATGAGTACGTAAAACCTAGCACTTCTGTAATAGAAGTTGAAGTGTTTGATCCTATTAAAATTGTGCAGGAAGTACCTGATACACCCCTAGTTGAATTTATCGAGATTTAACATATCAAAAATATTTAGATGATAATTAGAGGGGTTGAAGTTTTTTAAGAAGAAAATAATAAGTTAGAGAATGCAAATGATATCGAGAATATGCATGATAACCTAGATATTAGTTGTAAAAATTTGGATGACTTGTCCGATTTGGGATATTGGGAGAATAATGCCCCAATTTTTTTTTTTTTTAGTCGAGAAATAGTGACTAGAGTTACTAATGTCGTACGTGTATCCTATTAACGATAAAGGTAGAAGTTTCAATGATAAACTGTACAAATGATTCTTGTCGAATGCGGAAAACAAAATAGTTTTGAAACTTGATTATAGTGACTTGATCGAAAATTTTTGTACAAAAGAGCACGGAAAGGTTGTACACTTTTGTTATTTTGATTTTTACTTTGTTTCTCATATTCATTGTATTTTTATATTTATTATTGACAATGTTTAAGATTATTTGTTCAATTAAAAATTTTAAAATATAGAAGTACGATTATGGGTCACTCGTAAAAATTTGTCTGAGGTCTCCAAATTTCTGAAGACGACCTTGCCCATATGAGTTGATCGAGTTTTGGGGATTCGGATTTGAAAAAATTCATACCTACCCCGCTACCCGTTTACGTGATAAACTGCTTTTTCTTAATACCATTTCATAATTAAGTATAATTTACTAAGCCCACATTATGTATTATTATATATTTATAGTCTGACTTGATGTCTAATGATATAATTAGTGGATGAACCTTTATTTTACTTCTTTTAGGACGGCCTAAATTAATTAGTGGAGGCTTACTGCTTTTTTTGTTTTATTCTGGGAACCTGTTTGTCCCCAGAAATGTGCACACAAAATTGGAAAAAGAATAAATACATTTAAACTTATTATGTTCTTAATAATATTAGATAACAAAAAATATTCAAATAATTAATGTTTTCCCGTATATTATAATAAACGTCCGTATCTATGTATGGATGAATAGTTCTATTTGTACATAATAGTATTTACATAGATGTTTACATATTTTTACATTGATAGAATTCATTTAATATTTTATTTAGATAGCTATTCCTTACTTCATGTGAATATATATGTGTGTGTACACGCACCATTAAGTAAAAATTATAGTATGAATTGTAGCATCTTGAACTAACTTGATGACATATTTTTCCACTTGATNAAAAAAAAAAAGAAAAAAAAATCTAATCACAAAAGAAGAGATTGCAAATTAATATTTAATCATAAGTACTGCGATAAAAACTATTATAATGGGAATTATTCATAGATGAGGTCACTAAGGGAAAATGACTATTTCACCATAATCCTCCAATAGAGGATGACCATATTCCAAGAAAATAATTCCAAATCCTAATTGATATTTTAACTTTATTACATATGTTGAGAAATCACGACAAAGAGAGAGACCAAACTATTCCCTTGGGATTGAATTTTGGTTCAAGTATATTCAATACCAAATTATTTAAAAACTATTATAAATTATTTCTGAATTTGTCTCGTCGAATAATTTATTTTTTCGTTTGAGCTACTATTGGAAAGTGCCTTTAGACTTCCAATTTTTCAAACATTCAAAAACAAAGTCATCACTTTCTATATATATGTGTGTGTGTAAGAGTGTTTATAAAAGAATATACTAAGATGGATTAGTGGAACAAACACTTTGGTGGACAAAATGAAGTGGTGATTTTAATTTGGAGGTAGCTTCCAGTAACATGGGGGCAAAATGTACCTATGCTTTTATCCGTAGCACGGATTTTGAAAATCTATTTATTTTATTTTTCTTCCTTTGAAATAAATCTAAGTGGTGATTGTGATTTTGAAATCACACCTTTGCAGAAATTTTTTGAATTTTATAGTGGCACCTCTCACTAATTCATAACAGCATAACCATAGCATACAACTAACTATTTGACATATATTATTTTTTTATACATAATTTTTTTTTTCAGTTGACACTTGACAGAACTATTAGGCTGACAATGTGTCTAAAATGTAAGGGCATAAAATAATGAAGAAACACATAACAAATGAAGACAGTGTGATTTGTGAAGCTATACAAATGAAGATAGTGTGATTAGATGAAGCACAAGGGCTCAATCACTTTGGGTTTTCAAAAAGGATATATAAAACAAAAAACATGACTAGTGATAAGTGGAGTTCCCACATCGGTAGCATTGATATCTTTTCGAATTAAGGCATCATATCTCACTATACACACATTCAATTGGTTGGCTCCTGCAATCTTGTTAGGTTTGTGTCAATCGCTTAAAAGGAAACAATTTTTGCTCGACACTTTGTAGATTCACATTTTTCCCTTATTTTCACATAGAGCATGAGTAATAATTATGAGGCTAAGGACCTGTCATTTGATTTAATTATTATTATTTGTTTTTTCTGTCAGTAGAGCACAGTATTCTGGTCAATTAAAATGTGATTTTAATAGGTGCAATCATAATTGTGTAACACAATGTTGATTGCTAGAACACATAGTATTTTACATAGTTCAACTTGAATTATTGGATCATATAAATTTAAATCATTTTTTCAAAGCATGTGGACGAGTGATTCATGTTTTCTAAAACTGTTGAAATAACAATTGTTCATGATAATGCCACTATTATATACTGAAACTGTTGGATAAATGGCTCATGTTTATGACAATGTCAATATTATTACACATCACACATCCAATAAAACTAATTATGAATTAGAATATAATTTGGGAACACAAAAAATCTTTCAACTGCAAAACTGAGGCAAAACGTTGGGCTGCTTGTTTAGCAGATAAAAGGCTTTAGTAGAAAGCGTACCAAATACCTAGATAAGCCCAGAACTGTAGCAGCCCAATTGGTTGAAGTGATTCTTATCTTACTTCCATATTGACATTTAAAGCTCCCTTTTTTTCTTTGAAAAAATTTAAAGCTCTTGAGTCTACCATTATAAAAACTTATCTGAACACAGTTTGCTAGCATGACAAACTGCATCTAAAATGGAAACCACAC